GGCTCTTCAGGAGTTGCCTTCTGCTTTGTGCACGTCCAGCAGCAGCCCTGCGAGAGCTCACCATGTGCTTCCTGGTGCACAGGACTTGGATAGGACACAGAAAACAGCTGATCATCTGCTTCCCACATGAGGCAACCACACCAGAGGCAGGCACAAGGCTCAGAGATCAGCACTAGTCATCTGTGAGGGACTGCTCAGGGTCTGCTGCAGGTTAAGTGACTACCTCTATGCTATGGGGCAAGTTAAAGGTGTAAAGTTTCTATAGGAAATCTCTACCATTACCGGAAATCTTCTATGGATGGACAAAAGTCGAGCACCAGCAAGGCAGAAGGCAACAGAAAAGTTCTGGAGAGCCACAGATAACTATGGATGGCAGCATGCCAGTGAGGGAAACCTGGAGGCAAAGAAAAGGAACAGAAAGCAGCTCAGGGAAAGCAACTTGGAGGAGCAGAGAAGAAATAATAGAAAGGAGAGCAAGGGGAAAAAAGGCCACAACAGAGCAGAACGAGTCAGAGGAGGCATGGAAAAGGGGAAAATGAGCACTTTGGGAAGAGAGGTCCATCTAGTATTAAAATAAACCTGTCAGAGAGTTTTTGATTTGGTAGCTCAGAGTATCAGAGCAGGACCAGGTGCTACACATAGGTGCAATACAACCAGTGACATTGAAAGAGCAATACAACCAGTGACATTGAGCCTCTGTTCTGATGACAAGGGCAAAAAACAAGTTCAGAGGAGGATTGTCAGAAACCACTCTGCCACTCCATGGGCAAAAAAAATCCCAACTTTGACAGGCTGGTAACGTGCTCTTTTGCCTTCTGGTTCTGCACTTAAGGGTTGATTCTGCCCACACTGAAGTCAAGGCAAGAGAGGTGCCTGACTGCACTGAAGCTGGATCATCTTAGATGAGAACCCCTCACAAGCAGTATTTACAGAAAATAGGAGGGGGAAAAAAAAAAGACTACTTTTTCAGGTTTAGACCTCACTTTTGGTTTCTATTGGGTCTGTTGTAACTATTTCTAAATCGTCCATTTTAAGTCAGCTTCTAAGTCCATAGCTCTGCCTTTCTCATACAAACTGATTTAAATACAAAAGTTGTTTACTTTGCATATAGAAACAGACAGTTTAGTAACATTAGGCTGTGTTCACTGCAAGAGTGAACTAGCCTGTGTTTTTCTGTGATCCTCTTTTCTACATTTGCCTAGAGCAAGGGACAGGCATATTTCAAAGACGAATAAAGTACTAGCAAGTTATAGGTAACATCATAGTGAATCATATTTAGTCACCCTGCAGCTATGCACATAAATAACCTTGTTTACCAGCTTACTAGTGAGATGCCTGATGTTTTTGAATGTCCTTGGCCTTTAGCATCATAGTACACTCCAGATGCAGAAAGTGCATTTTGCCACGTGCTCTTATTAGTTATCAAAGACAAGACCAGATTGTGTGAATGCTAGACTCCCCGCTGGGACCTTCCCTCTTCTCATATCAAAGGAAGGGTAAGATGAACTGCCACTGCAGAAAACTATACCTCCCATCCTCTCCTCGGCAATTTCAAAGCACTCAGCAGCTCCAACAAGTACAGAGGGGGAGAGCATTGTGGAAGTCAGTCCAAAAGGATGAGGGGTGAAGAAAGGAATGGAGAGGATGGTTTGCTGTTGCTGAGCAAGAAAAGGAGCACACTCCTGCTCAGTATGAGTTGTTTGCTGAAGCTAGCAATAAAGGTAACAACCAACTCTTTCTAATATTGCTGACTTTTTTTTTAAAAAAAAAACCTCTTAAAGAGTTAATAACATCAAATAGCTCAAGCTTTCACTCCTCAACCATATCCCTTAAACATAACATACTGCAGCTTCACTGAGCTGTAGGATAATGCTAGTCCTTTTAATGCTCCTTAGGCAAATCTGTAGGGACTGTGGAGTCCTTCAATGCAATGCAAATTTGGTTTGCAACACTTCACCACTTCCTTCCTCCAGATAAAAGGCACAGCTGATATTCACCTTCTTTCAGAAAGCCCAAGATAAATACACATACATATACAAACTCACATACATATGCATATATATTTGTATGTATACAAAAATACACACAAATGTATATGACTAAATGCTAATACACACAAGAGTGGGCTTTTGTCAGGTGTTTTTGTTGCATTAAGTGTACTGAGCTTCACTGTAGGCAGAAGGATGTCTGCTTTGAAACAGGACATTAAGAAACTATGCTTACCCCACGAATTTTGTAAAGATCGGACATGCCCCATGCAATCTCTTCTTACCTCCAAAGCTTTGCATCAGTGTCACTAAGTTAAATGAGATTTTTATGTTTCAACTTTGTCAAGTTACACAAGGCAGTGGCCAGTCAATTTAAAATGTTGGTATGACAAAGTGTTCTCTAGGCAGAGAAGCACACTCTGCAAAATAATTTTTGTTAGAGCAGGAGGAGCATAATTTTAAACAGAGTATTACACAACTGAAATTGTGATGCATGCTGTGACTGCTTAGAAACTACTCCTGATTTTTATTCTATCTCTGTTGCAAAGTTAACCCCCACCCCCTCAATAAGCTGAATAGATCATTTGTTTATATTGGGTTTTGATTTTTCAAATCCTGGGCTGATGCTTTGCTCATTCCCAATTCTACTGAAGTCAGTATGTCTCTTCCTGAGAGAAAGGTAAGTCAGGGTTGCTGGCTCTAGGTCTTAGGGAGGGATTGAGCAATGCAGTCTGAGGATGGTTAATCTTTCCCAGCTATTCATGCACTAATGGTGTATGCTACCTGGGACTGTCAAGTAAAGCCAATGCAAGGGACTGTAATCCCATCTGGCTCGAACTGCACAAATAATGCCTCAGAGAGATGTGAAAATAGTTTTAATATTTTGCAAAAGCTGCAGCAGGCCTTGAGACATGAGAGAAACCATGCTCACTTGAGAGAGGCACTGAAGAATGAAAATGGCTCTAGGACAAGAAGTGGTTCCTGTGCACAATGGGAGGGGCAGGAGGCCAGGGCCAGCAAGGATTTGCGGCCAGACCCAGCACACACCACAGCCCAGCTGCCAAGCTGCTCTTCAGAGCCCCATAAAGCCGACAAGAAGGACTACTGGCACCCTGGGAGGCCCAATTTTAGCCACAGTGACCCTGGCAGGTGCTGTGCCCTGCAGTCCATAGGCAGGCTTGCTCCAGACCTACCCAGAATTCTCAAAAGCCAGGGCCCAGGTGCCATATACACTTGAAGGCCATGTTACTTAGAATTTACAGACATTCAGTGCTACTAAAAATCACATTCTGAGTACTTTATGTAGGGCACACAAAAAGGGTAGTAAGTTTTCACAATACTTTAGATCCGTGGTCAGCAACCTAATAGCATAAGACACTGTATGTGCCAGGCACACATCAGAGCTGAGAGGTGGAGGTCTGGGACCCGCAGGACCCCCTATTCCCAGCCTGCACCCAAGCGGGGGCAGACAGCCCTCCTCCGGCACCCAGCCCCCGCAAGGACTTCCCACCCCGCACGCCGGAGTGGGCAGCAAGGGGATGCGGGGCTTGCAGCTCCCCGGCTGCTTTGCGCCCGTTCCCGCCGTCTGCAGAGGGCACTCAGGGCCTGCGAGTGGCGGTGGAGCTCCCGGGGCCGGCGGGGCGGAGCTGCCACCTCCCGGCAGCGGGAACGGGAAAGCCCGGCGCCGGGGAACACACGCCGGGAAGCGGGCTGCGGCTCCCGAGATCGAAAGAAGCTAAGGAGAGGTAAAGGTACAAGCACTTTTATGTGAGGCACATAAAAAAACCCACCCTACTCCACCACCAGGGGTTAGGGATCTGGCAAGACAACGGAAAAAGACCTGTCTCACTTTAAACACCCGTCAGAAAACATCCTTGGGGAGTCAGTCCGGGAGAGACAATCCCCACTCGCAGGGAACAGGGCCCGCTGTCGCACAGGGAGGGCAAAGAAATTAAGTCCAGTATGAGCGGTGGAGACCCAGCCCCGAGAATGGGAAACCGAAGACCCTCTGCAAGGGGGTCACACTAGCAAGGCGAGAGGCGAAGTGAGAGCTAGGGAAAATTTCCCCATCCTCTCACAGAGGAAAACATGCACAGAATATCGGCTCCTCCCCGTTCCTGTTCAATCAAATCATCTACGTGGTAGCTCAACAACTGGGGAGACTGGAAGTGCTACGCATACATCCATTTTTAGATGACCGGATGCTCCGCACCACTCTACACACTTGAAATATGTTAGAGCAAAACGCGTAGCTCTATCTAAAAAATACCTCAATCGTTAAACAAATTAAAACCAAGCCCCAAGACAGCTTAACGGGTACATCCTGCTTCTGCACAGAGAGACCTGAGCATGAGCAACATCCCCCGACTTGGGTTAATCCACTTCAGAAACTGGAAGGGAACACTCTCTAACTGCTGGTGCAATTCCCATTTTGCAGAAGTTATGCGAGGAATTATGCCAGCTCCCAGACTCGCTCCGTCCACTGGCAAGCGTCGCAGCCTCTTTTTTTTTTTGCCCTCTCCTTGTGGCAAACAACATACCAAGATACAGAGATTTTTCAGCTACGCCCCTTCTCCCGCCAGCCACCCCCCAGCCCTTCCTCGGGGAGACCGGAGGCACCGGAGAGGGGCAGCGCGAACGGGGACCCCTTTGCTCCCACAGCCCAGCAAAGCCTGGAGCCGCGCAGCGGGAGACAGAGACTGGGGTCTTCCTCCTGCTAGATCCCCCGGCTGCGGGGTAGCCCGTATATTAAAAAAAAAAAAAAAAAAAAAAAAGGAAACACAAATCAACATCTCAACATCCCGGGCGGAGTTTCCGACCGCAAAACGCCCCCGTAGCTTTTCTGCCCCCTACCCCGTCCGGGCTCGCAGCGGCTCCAGCTCCTCACCCCCTTTCCCTCCCTCCAGAGGGACCCGCTCGCCCGCCCGTCCTCCCCGACCACCGCCACCCCCGGGGAACCCGCCCGCCCTCCCGCCGAGCAGCGAGAGCCATGCCCGAGAAAGCTGCTCAAACCTTGGAGCAAAGGGGAGCGGGACAGCTCGGGCCGGTCCTCAGGGAAGGAGTCGAGGAGCCGCTTAAAGAGGCGGCCGAGATCAGAGTAGCTGCGGTGCAGGTAGAGGATGTTGCGGTCCGACCACTCGGTGCGGATCTCGTAGAACTCCTCCTCGTCGCCCCGCCGGCTGATGATGAGCCGCCGGATCCCGTTCACCCAGCAGCCCCGCACGTACATGTTCACCAGCGAGGTGCCCTCAAACACGGCCGAAGCCATCCCGCCGCCGCCCGCACATCCCCCGTCGCCGGCGCAGGGCGAAGCGCACCGCCCCGCGCCGCCGTGGCCAAGTTAAGAGGAGGAGGAGGAGGAGGAAGAGGAGGAGGAGGAAGAGAGAAGGGGGGTGCCACCCGCCCCACGGCCCCCCCGGCCCGGTCCGGCTGTGCCCGCCGGGGCTCTGCCGCCTCCCGGCGCTGGAGGGAGGGCTCGCTAGTGCCTCATAGACGGCGGCCGGCGGCGAGGGGTCGGCCCGAGCACCTCAGCCTCTGCCCCGCCAAGCCCCCAGCACTGAGCAGGGCGGCTCTCACCCCCTCCTGGGGCGGGGAGCAGGGTGGCTCGGCCCCTTCTTCCTCGGCGCCGCAGGAAGGCAGAGCCCCTCCCGTCCACGGCGGGGGGGACTCCCCCAACCCCGGCCTCGCAACCAGCGCTCACCCCCTCCGCCAAACGCTGCGGTCCCCGCGGGGCGGGATCCTCCTCTTCCTTCTCGGGACGGTTTCGCAGACGTAACAGACGTGACGAGGAATTTTTTTCCCCTCCCAGTGACCCCTGAAGTTTTCTTTTCTGTTTTTTACTTTTTTTCTTTAAACCTCCATCCCGGCCAGCTGAAGGAGGAAGAGGGGGATTGTCAGGCTGTCAGCCGCTAGCGGCGCACAGGATTGACCAGCGTCCTGGTCAATTGGGAAATCTCGACGGAGACCCCGGCAGCCGTGACTGCACCTCCGGGAAGAGGGGAGCCCACATAGAGGGGAAAAGCAGGAGAAAGGGAGTATGGGGCTGGTGCCTGGGACTGCTTTAGCCTTCTAATAGCCTGGCGGGACGCCATCCCTAAGGGAGCCTCCAGCAGCATCGCATTCGGGAGGGAGGTGGGGAGGCCTGCGCCTACAAATACAGTCCTTCCTTCCCACGGGGACCCCATGGCATGCCCTGCCTTAACGCCCAGAGAGTGGGGCACAGGGAATGCCGGCAGGGGCTGCAGCAGCCAGCAGTAGGCATCTGGCAAAAACGGAGATGCACTGTAAAGCGACAAAATCTGTGGGAGATGCCTGGATGCCTGCAAATGCCTTGAAGCTGTGGGGTTAAGATATACATACTGAAGGTGAAGCAAATGACAGCGCAGTGATGTGGGATGCATCATCCAGGAGGGGATTCTGCTTGAAGGTAGTGGCCTCAGGCACCAGGCTTTTTGCAGCAGAGGGGCTTTTCAGAGCCAAGGGAGGCAGTGGATGACTTTCCTGAGTCATTTCATGGCCTGGAGCACGAGAGACCTTTCCTGTTTGTATAATCTAGGGAGGTCAGAGGTCACTACACTCACACTATGTATTATAAAATTTAAGCCGTTTTTTGCTGTGGTTCAGGAAGCCAGGAATTCACACGGTAACAATTCAGGTGTAGTTTAACTGCTCAGAAAAATCATCAGAGCCCACAGACGAGATTACTGTTACAGGTATCAGCCAAAAAGCAGTGCTTGGAGAGCATTGCAGCTGTATCACCTTGGGATAGCACAAATAAGCACGATGGAATGGCACAGAGGTGAAAGTTACTTAATAGTTTTCTGTAAAATGTATAATTAAATAACTAAGTCATACTCTTTTCAATAGATAATGTTGTAAATAGCTGCCTACATAATTCAGGTGCCAGATGCCTCTATATTAAACCAACTCCTACAAATGCAATGATGTCGCAATTGTATATTTTATCTGTTTAGCTTCTATAGAACAAAACTGGTTTGAGTTTGTTCTGAAGCACAGTCATATATAAAGAATGCAAACTGGGTCCCATCTCTCCAAACATAAATGTTCGTGCCTGTTTGCTGCAGCTTTGACTATACAGCACTTGCAGCCATTTCTTTAGAGAAATCTGTATTTTTGGAAACAGGCAGGCAATACTCACGATGTCATAGCAGATCCTATTCCCACCAAACCAACTTCCTTGAGAACAGTGCTAGGCCATAGCTGCGATACAAAACTAAACAAAGCGAACAACCTGAAAGCAGGCACTTCCCATAGAGACCTGTATAGTCCTGACCAGAGCAAAGTATGTGGCAGAGGCCCACTCACTTCACCTTGGATCACCACAAAAAGGGTTTTCGCATCACTGTCGGACTAGACATCTCCCGAGTATCCCATATTAGTTGTTCAGAATGTTCAGTGTGGCTTCACAGGAAAGGAATTATTGTGAACCTCTGTACTGCAGGAAGATCTCCACACAGCTCCTTTTGTTCAGGGCAGGCTTTTGTAATCCCTCCTCTTGTTCCAGGACATGGTGGTCTTCCCTGTTCTTCAGTATAAAAACAAAACAAGAAAATAAAATGCCTTCTCTTCTGGCAGTTGCTGTGCTAAGTCAAAATAACCACATACCCTAAGGAAGTGAAACTTCTAGGAAGAGAACCACGAGAGTAACTCCCCTTTTTTTAAAGATGTCAGCCTTGCATTGCTTCTGTTTAAGCAGGGAAAGCATTTAACTTCTGCTCATTCTGACCGGTATTTTCTGCCTTTGCAATAGAATGATTTTTGCCATTGTTGGCCTGCCCTCACCCTGTGTGTCACTCAACAGACCTCTGAGACTCTCAGCACCTTGTAGGAGTTCTGACTTCAGTCGATTCTGCAAGGTCTTGGATGGGGGTTCTCATCTTCTGCTGGGCTAGGGTTGGCATGTAGCATCCTGTAGGTTCAAGCATTGAATGTTTGGTTCTATTTCTCAGCCTGACTGGTGCCATGCTTCCAGCTTAATTAAAATATTCAAATAATGCAAACCCCTGTGTGCCTGTCACTCCCTGCTTACGGAAAATGAGCCTATGCTGAAAATTCTGTATCTAAAGGGCTTGAAACTGGCATCCTGATGCCATATCCTGCTGAATTTTACAAGTATGAAGGGGAGTAGTACTCCTATGCCTAATGCTGCACATACAGGATCAGTTTGTTGTTCCCCCATGAGTACGATCCTGTTTCAGAAAAACCTTAATCCAGTAAGTCCAGAAATACAACATCCCCTTTTTGGAGCGAAAAGTAGAACTGTGCACAGCTTTATATCCTGCCAATGAGCACTTCTGGCACCCATTGCCTGTGGACAAATTGGTAGCCCACGACAATTTAATCTCATTCTCAGCTCAGGCTGCAGGACATTCATATGTATGTCCTCTCTCCCCCTCATATGTATGTCCTCTCCTCCTTATGAGTGTCCCTATTACAGCAGTGTAATGCCAACCAGACATTAAATCTGGGCACAACTGTTAATCGTGGAAGTTGGGTTACTGTGTGGCTCCAGAAAAGCTGGAAAATGCTCACACACAGAAAAGAAATGTTTGCATTAGACAAGTGGTGTGCTGAGGAGAATGGTGGAATTCACAAATTATCTGCTTCATGGAATGTAAAATGGATGTGCAGGAAGGACAGATAGTTCCACATCTATGAACTATGTACTTTGCAGGGGAGGAAGAGGCTTTTGTACATTTGTACTATAGCCATAATTAAAGTTGTAATTTTTGGAAATAGGCTTCATATTAAGTAACAAGGAGTTTCCATCTTAAGGAAAAAATGAACCGTATCTTTTGTGAGCATGGCCAGTGAAGTTGGCAGGTTTCACTACTTCAGTTTAGAGAATAACCTCTTTGACGGAAATGGATTATTGAAGCATCAGCAGCCACTGACCAGCCAAAATACATCTCCAGCTGAAACAGAGATGAGTCTCTCTGCGGCAAGAACACCTGAAGGTGATGACTGTCATGGAGGAGCCAAGTTGGAACTCAAGGACAGAGGCAGGCTGTAATCTGAAGGCAGCCTGGCTTTGGCAGCATTGTCAGAGCTGTTTTCTACACCATAGTGATTAGCTCTGCCAGGAGATCTGGGTTAAAACCACAGCACTGACTTACAGAGCAGGAATAACCAGAGAGGGGTAGAGAGGAGAGATATTTCCCTTAGCTGATACTGCCAGCAAAACTCAGGTGTTGGAAAATGCTGATCTTAGAAACCAGTCTGAATAGCTTTGGTGCATCACCCTGGAGCCCAAGAGGGGCAGGAGGGGGACAATGCCTGCCATAGGCTAAGAAGTTCTCTGGTTGTTCAAGGTTTCCTTTCCTGAAGGAAGCTGACTTTCTACACTCTTGTAAATAAGCAAAAACTGCATCCAAGGTGCCTGGCTCCATTAATAATTGCTCCTTACAACTTCATTGCTGCTTACAACTCAATACCCCAAGTCACTTAAGTCAAAAGGCCATCACAGCTCTCAAATCTGGAGTCATCAGTCAGCTCTTGCCTGATGACTTTTTAAAATCATTCCTGCATGGAGAAAATGGATGACCTGGATGCTACAGTGAAGAACAGGGTCACGTTTATAGCCTTAGCTAGCAGATTTGTAAACCAGAGTCTTTGCAAAGAAGCTCAATCAGCTCATTCAGCTCTGTTGCCAGTGTGGTGTTTGAATAACTAAAATGTTCACCTATTGCTCAACAAAATAATTTCTAAAGCAAGACGGATTGAAACTTTATACACTTAGTCAAGCAGTGGAAAGAAATAGTGAGCTTTAGAAGGCAGCCCTCTCCTCTGTAATACATGCAAACTGCATGGGGAAGGCATGGGGTTTTTTCCGTTCTCCCACAATGTGCACTATTCTGTTAAAAGGGTTTTTCAATGTACAATCCAAAGTCAAAGCAGCCTCTCCTGTTTTAGTCCTTAGTTCATACGACAAGATTGTTCCCTCTGAACACCTCTGGTGAGGGGGAGCCCTTGATTAAATGAGCAACAGACTGAAACATCCTTTCATGCTCCTGTGGGGCATTTTGACTGCAAAAGGTTTGCATGCACAGCCAGAGCACTGCTGGGACTGTGTATTCTCACTTTGTTCTCCTCCTCTCTCCCTCAGGCTGATTCTGTGAAGTACTGAGCCCTCCTGGAGCCAATGGGAGTTAAAAAAGTGCTCAACAGTCATTGAGTTTTGGCTACCTCATAATATAGCCATTAATGTATGCACAGCCTATTTTTAGAATCTGTAACATGCTTTCTGGGTAAAAAACTGCTTGAAAGACCCCTTCTTCTCCCTCAGACTTGACATTGAATTCAATTTTATAGAAGAGCCTGAAATTCTTTCCATTAAAAAGTGTATTATAAATGCTCAAGGAGCTGTAACTGCAGTTGAAAGCAAGGTATATTCCTGCCAAAGGGTAAACTAGCTTCATTTAATAGGAGAATATTTCTAGGGGAACAGTTTACCCTTTATGAGCCTTTTTCCTGGAGACAATACACAAAGTATATCTTCGCTGTGTTTTCAGCAGAGCAAAATAAATTAAATGTACCTGCAGGTTACTAAAAAAACCCATTGGCATAAAAATATGCAAGACAAAATTTATCTGTGTTTTCAGATTCTTAGCCTAGTGCAATCAGTCAGTTGGGCAATAGAGGGTCCACAGTACTGGCCTTCAGTATGGTTTGTAATGATCCT